ACATGTGACAGCGGTACATGTGACAGCGGTACATGTGACAGCGGTACATGTGACAGCGGTACATGTGACAGCGGTACATGTGACAGCGGTACATGTGACAGCGGTACATGTGACAGCGGTACATGTGACAGCGGTACATGTGACAGCGGTACATGTGACAGCGGTACATGTGACAGCGGTACATGTGACAGCGGTACATGTGACAGCGGTACATGTGACAGCGGTACATGTGACAGCGGTACATGTGACAGCGGTACATGTGACAGCGGTACATGTGACAGCGGTACATGTGACAGCGGTACATGTGACAGCGGTACATGTGACAGCGGTACATGTGACAGCGGTACATGTGACAGCGGTACATGTGACAGCGGTACATGTGACAGCGGTACATGTGACAGCGGTACATGTGACAGCGGTACATGTGACAGCGGTACATGTGACAGCGGTACATGTGACAGCGGTACATGTGACAGCGGTACATGCCTGCGAGAGGCAAGCAGATGAACGAGCTAGGAATCTAGAATTGTGAGCACACTACACAAACCAAGTTGTTGCTTGAAACTAAATCAGGGATTTTGGTCTGAAGAACACAATCTGCCTTGGGGAAAGTGACAGGTGGCTTTTGAGACGTCTCAAAAGTCGACTTGAAACTAATCCAGGGCTCTTGGGGAGCATAATTTGCAGTTTGGCTTTGGGGACAGAGACAGGTGGTAAGCAAGCAAGGGCAAGTGTTACGCACAGAGTTGGAAATGCGCAGTGCCAATGGGGAAGAACTAGAAAGGGAAGAAGCGCGAGGCGCACAGGCAGGTGGTAAGCAAGCAAACAACCACAGTTTCCCGTTTGGGCAAGTGGTACGCACAGAGGTGGCAGCGGGCAGTGCCTTTGGGGAAGAAGTAGAAGGGGAAGAAGGGCGAGGGGCAGAGGCAGGAGTAGGTGCCGTCCATTTCATCAATGCACACCCCCGGGGCACATGGGTTGCTGGCGAGCTGGCGACATGAGAAGGAGTCTGGATAAGGGAGGAAAGGGAAAAGGGGACGGTGAGAGCAGGGGACAGAGGACAGGGGGGAAAGGGGACAGAGGATGGGGGGAACGGGACGGAGGACAGGGGAAAGGGGTCGGGGGGCAGGGGAAAGGGGTCGGGGGGGAGGGTGAAGAGGGACAGCGGAAGCGGGAAGGAGAAGGGATGGGGAAAGGAGGAGAACGGGGAGGAAGTGAATGGATAATGGAGAATGGAGAATGGAGAATGGTTAAAAAGGGGAACTGGAAGGGTGGTAACAGAGCAAGAGTACACAACGTCAAGAGCAAGAGTACACAACGTCAAGAGCAAGAGTACACAACGTCAAGAGCAAGAGTACACAACGTCAAGAGCAAGAGTACACAACGTCAAGAGCAAGAGTACACAACGTCAAGAGCAAGAGTACACAACGTCAAGAGCAAGAGTACACAACGTCAAGAGCAAGAGTACACAACGTCAAGAGCAAGAGTACACAACGTCAAGAGCAAGAGTACACAACGTCAAGAGCAAGAGTACACAACGTCAAGAGCAAGAGTACACAACGTCAAGAGCAAGAGTACACAACGTCAAGAGCAAGAGTACACAACGTCAAGAGCAAGAGTACACAACGTCAAGAGCAAGAGTACACAACGTCAAGAGCAAGAGTACACAACGTCAAGAGCAAGAGTACACAACGTCAAGAGCAAGAGTACACAACGTCAAGAGCAAGAGTACACAACGTCAAGAGCAAGAGTACACAACGTCAAGAGCAAGAGTACACAACGTCAAGAGCAAGAGTACACAACGTCAAGAGCAAGAGTACACAACGTCAAGAGCAAGAGTACACAACGTCAAGAGCAAGAGTACACAACGTCAAGAGCAAGAGTACACAACGTCAAGAGCAAGAGTACACAACGTCAAGAGCAAGAGTACACAACGTCAAGAGCAAGAGTACACAACGTCAAGAGCAAGAGTACACAACGTCAAGAGCAAGAGTACACAACGTCAAGAGCAAGAGTACACAACGTCAAGAGCAAGAGTACACAACGTCAAGAGCAAGAGTACACAACGTCAAGAGCAAGAGTACACAACGTCAAGAGCAAGAGTACACAACGTCAAGAGCAAGAGTACACAACGTCAAGAGCAAGAGTACACAACGTCAAGAGCAAGAGTACACAACGTCAAGAGCAAGAGTACACAACGTCAAGAGCAAGAGTACACAACGTCAAGAGCAAGAGTACACAACGTCAAGAGCAAGAGTACACAACGTCAAGAGCAAGAGTACACAACGTCAAGAGCAAGAGTACACAACGTCAAGAGCAAGAGTACACAACGTCAAGAGCAAGAGTACACAACGTCAAGAGCAAGAGTACACAACGTCAAGAGCAAGAGTACACAACGTCAAGAGCAAGAGTACACAACGTCAAGAGCAAGAGTACACAACGTCAAGAGCAAGAGTACACAACGTCAAGAGCAAGAGTACACAACGTCAAGAGCAAGAGTACACAACGTCAAGAGCAAGAGTACACAACGTCAAGAGCAAGAGTACACAACGTCAAGAGCAAGAGTACACAACGTCAAGAGCAAGAGTACACAACGTCAAGAGCAAGAGTACACAACGTCAAGAGCAAGAGTACACAACGTCAAGAGCAAGAGTACACAACGTCAAGAGCAAGAGTACACAACGTCAAGAGCAAGAGTACACAACGTCAAGAGCAAGAGTACACAACGTCAAGAGCAAGAGTACACAACGTCAAGAGCAAGAGTACACAACGTCAAGAGCAAGAGTACACAACGTCAAGAGCAAGAGTACACAACGTCAAGAGCAAGAGTACACAACGTCAAGAGCAAGAGTACACAACGTCAAGAGCAAGAGTACACAACGTCAAGAGCAAGAGTACACAACGTCAAGAGCAAGAGTACACAACGTCAAGAGCAAGAGTACACAACGTCAAGAGCAAGAGTACACAACGTCAAGAGCAAGAGTACACAACGTCAAGAGCAAGAGTACACAACGTCAAGAGCAAGAGTACACAACGTCAAGAGCAAGAGTACACAACGTCAAGAGCAAGAGTACACAACGTCAAGAGCAAGAGTACACAACGTCAAGAGCAAGAGTACACAACGTCAAGAGCAAGAGTACACAACGTCAAGAGCAAGAGTACACAACGTCAAGAGCAAGAGTACACAACGTCAAGAGCAAGAGTACACAACGTCAAGAGCAAGAGTACACAACGTCAAGAGCAAGAGTACACAACGTCAAGAGCAAGAGTACACAACGTCAAGAGCAAGAGTACACAACGTCAAGAGCAAGAGTACACAACGTCAAGAGCAAGAGTACACAACGTCAAGAGCAAGAGTACACAACGTCAAGAGCAAGAGTACACAACGTCAAGAGCAAGAGTACACAACGTCAAGAGCAAGAGTACACAACGTCAAGAGCAAGAGTACACAACGTCAAGAGCAAGAGTACACAACGTCAAGAGCAAGAGTACACAACGTCAAGAGCAAGAGTACACAACGTCAAGAGCAAGAGTACACAACGTCAAGAGCAAGAGTACACAACGTCAAGAGCAAGAGTACACAACGTCAAGAGCAAGAGTACACAACGTCAAGAGCAAGAGTACACAACGTCAAGAGCAAGAGTACACAACGTCAAGAGCAAGAGTACACAACGTCAAGAGCAAGAGTACACAACGTCAAGAGCAAGAGTACACAACGTCAAGAGCAAGAGTACACAACGTCAAGAGCAAGAGTACACAACGTCAAGAGCAAGAGTACACAACGTCAAGAGCAAGAGTACACAACGTCAAGAGCAAGAGTACACAACGTCAAGAGCAAGAGTACACAACGTCAAGAGCAAGAGTACACAACGTCAAGAGCAAGAGTACACAACGTCAAGAGCAAGAGTACACAACGTCAAGAGCAAGAGTACACAACGTCAAGAGCAAGAGTACACAACGTCAAGAGCAAGAGTACACAACGTCAAGAGCAAGAGTACACAACGTCAAGAGCAAGAGTACACAACGTCAAGAGCAAGAGTACACAACGTCAAGAGCAAGAGTACACAACGTCAAGAGCAAGAGTACACAACGTCAAGAGCAAGAGTACACAACGTCAAGAGCAAGAGTACACAACGTCAAGAGCAAGAGTACACAACGTCAAGAGCAAGAGTACACAACGTCAAGAGCAAGAGTACACAACGTCAAGAGCAAGAGTACACAACGTCAAGAGCAAGAGTACACAACGTCAAGAGCAAGAGTACACAACGTCAAGAGCAAGAGTACACAACGTCAAGAGCAAGAGTACACAACGTCAAGAGCAAGAGTACACAACGTCAAGAGCAAGAGTACACAACGTCAAGAGCAAGAGTACACAACGTCAAGAGCAAGAGTACACAACGTCAAGAGCAAGAGTACACAACGTCAAGAGCAAGAGTACACAACGTCAAGAGCAAGAGTACACAACGTCAAGAGCAAGAGTACACAACGTCAAGAGCAAGAGTACACAACGTCAAGAGCAAGAGTACACAACGTCAAGAGCAAGAGTACACAACGTCAAGAGCAAGAGTACACAACGTCAAGAGCAAGAGTACACAACGTCAAGAGCAAGAGTACACAACGTCAAGAGCAAGAGTACACAACGTCAAGAGCAAGAGTACACAACGTCAAGAGCAAGAGTACACAACGTCAAGAGCAAGAGTACACAACGTCAAGAGCAAGAGTACACAACGTCAAGAGCAAGAGTACACAACGTCAAGAGCAAGAGTACACAACGTCAAGAGCAAGAGTACACAACGTCAAGAGCAAGAGTACACAACGTCAAGAGCAAGAGTACACAACGTCAAGAGCAAGAGTACACAACGTCAAGAGCAAGAGTACACAACGTCAAGAGCAAGAGTACACAACGTCAAGAGCAAAATAGACAAGCTACGTCATCCACAAAGCAAGCATAATGGCACCGATCGCACTCCACTTTTCACCCACCGCACTCCACCACTTACCTACTGCACTCCACCACTTATCTCATTCCACCACTTACCTATCTCACTCCACCTCTCACCTATCTCACTCCACCTCTCACCGACCGCACTCCACCTCTCACCGACCGCACTCCACGTCTCACCAGGGAAGCAGGAGGGCAGGCCGGCGAGGTGAGAGGGTTCAAAGGAGGGGAGATTGAAGGGGCACTTGCAGGAGGGCACAAGGATAGACGGGTCCCACGGGGCAGGTGCCTTGGTGCATGCACCCATGCCACAGGGGAGCACTGGAGAGGCCTTGCAGGGGTCGGTGTCTGTTGTGGGGGGGAGGGAGGATGGGAATGGGGAGTGTGCGGAGGTCTGTGGCAGGAGGAGAATGGGGACATAGCGGGGGCATACGGGAATGCCGGGGGAGTGTGACGGGGCATCGGGGGACACCCGGGGGAGTGTGACGGGGCATCGGGGGAGAACACGTGTGATGAGTCGACTCAAAAATCGACTAAAAAATCGGCTAAGAAATCGACTAAAAAATCGACTCATCACACCCCGGGGAGTGTGACGGGGCATCGGGGGACACCCGGGGGAGTGTGACGGGGCATCGGGGGACACCCGGGGGAGTGTGACGGGGCATCGTGGGACACCCGGGGGAGTGTGACGGGGCATCGGGGGACACCCGGGGGAGTGTGACGGGGCATCAGGGGACACCCGGGGGAGTGTGACGGGGCATCAGGGGACACCCGGGGGAGTGTGACGGGGCATCGGGGGAGAACACGTGTGATGAGTCGACTCAAAAATCGACTAAAAAATCGGCTAAGAAATCGACTAAAAAATCGACTCATCACACCCCGGGGAGTGTGACGGGGCATCGGGGGACACCCGGGGGAGTGTGACGGGGCATCGGGGGACACCCGGGGGAGTGTGACGGGGCATCGTGGGACACCCGGGGGAGTGTGACGGGGCATCGGGGGACACCCGGGGGAGTGTGACGGGGCATCAGGGGACACCCGGGGGAGTGTGACGGGGCATCAGGGGACACCCGGGGGAGTGTGACGGGGCATCGGGGGAGAACACGTGTGATGAGTCGACTCAAAAATCGACTAAAAAATCGGCTAAGAAATCGACTAAAAAATCGACTCATCACACCCCGGGGAGTGTGACGGGGCATCGGGGGACACCCGGGGGAGTGTGACGGGGCATCGGGGGACACCCGGGGGAGTGTGACGGGGCATCGGGGGAGACCACCCTGCAAGATCAGGTCGCCCTTAGAGGAACCGAATCAAGGAGGTTCGAGTACAAGGGGCAAACTTTTGAGACCGAATCAACGGACTCAAACCCAAGGAGGTTCAAGTCCAAGGGGCGAACTTTTGAGACGTCTCAAAAGACTTAACCCAAGGAGGTTCTCAAACTCAATTCAGTACAAGGGGCAAACCTTGACCTTAGTCCCCTTGTCAACCCTAAACCCTAAACCCGAAACCCGATGAGGGTCAGCTGAAGCAGTTCATCTCAACCACAGCGGCATTTTGACCTGGTTTTCCCCCCGCTCCCCCCTCTCCCCCATTCCCCCTTCTCCTCCTTTCCCCCCCCCCCCACACCCCCTACCTGTGAATCGGAAGGTCCAGGAGGAGAGGACGACGGGGGAAGGCAGGCGGCCAGGGAAGGGAGGGAGAGCAGCGCTGCTGAACCCAACGAACAGCTGCCCAAAGGATGGCGACCATACGTCCGTTGCACTGCTGTCACTGCTGCTGCTACTGGCGCCGCCACTGCGGCTGTTGCTGCCACCGGTGCCATCGCCGCTACCACTGCTGCTTCCGCTGGTGTGAGCAGCTCCAGTGAGAGCAGCACAGAGGTCAATAGAGACATTCAAGCTGCCTCGTAGAACAGGAGGGCGGTACCACCTGATCAGCATCTCCTTGCTGCTCCCGTTATAGTCAACCCTCATCTGCCACACCTCCTCTGGCTCCATAACATCCAACACCTTCTTTGCGAAAACCGAGGTCATGTTGAAATCGGTGTTAACGCCAATGTGTATATTATTAATATTATTTATATCGCCTGTTTCTGGGTTTGCTACAGTGTCCCACACCACAGCTACACTCTGCGCGCCGTCCGGCCAGCTGCCATTAGCGAGTCGTGAGGATGGGTCCCGACCGTACCCCATATAAGCCCCGCCTAGGCCCAGGGACGCATGTGTGCTTATAACGAACGCGAGCCCTTGGGAGGCGGATATATTCATGGAAAAGCCGTATGTGAAGGTGAACGAGCGAGCCATGCAGGTTGGGGGTTCAGTTGCTGTGGGTTGGGGAAAGGAGGAGGAAGGAGAGGAACGGGGGGAACTGCGAGAAGGAAAGGGAGGAGGGAAGGGAGAGGAGGATGAGGAGTAGAGGAGGGGGAGACGACGAGGGAAGAAGAGGGCTCCAGGGGCCGGCTCATCTGATTGGCCAGTGGATGGTGCCACGTCAGCAGCGACGGAGAGATCTGCAGCGAAGAAACGCTTCCTGGTGCTGCCACGTGTCAGCAGGGGAGTGGCTGGCGTGATGTAGGGGAAGGAGAACGAGTCTGCCGCCCAAAACGGAAGCGGATCCTCCGCTGCTGGGGTGAACAAGGGGGAGGGAGGCAAGAGGAGGAGAGGAGAGGAGACGGAGGGAAGGAGGGTTGGATGAAATGTACGCGGATCCTCCGCTGCTGGGGTTGGCATGATATGTGAGAGGGGGCAGGGGCGGGGTGGGGGTTGACATGGTATAAGGGGAGTGGGCGGAAGGTAGGATGGGGTTTCAGACAGACTGACGGAGGGCAAAGGCAGTGAGGAGCTGAAAGAAAAATAGGGAAAAATTGCAGAGCTGTACACACACATGTAATGAGAACTCTAAAAACAGGGCCTGGATAATAAAGAGGGAAAGCGCACTCTCAAGAACAACAACAACTCACTGTCCCCGACTTCAAACGTCCACCCCAGCTGAAGAGGAGGAGGAGGAGGAGGAAGAGGAAGAGGAGGAGGGAGCAGGGGAGAGCCAGACAGTGAGTTGGGAGGAGGAGGCGTTGTATTGGATGGTGGCGAGGAGGGTCTGACCAGCGTTGAGGGAGGGAATGCGGACGGGGTGCACGGGGGCAGAGGCGAGCGAGAGCATGCTGCCGTGCAGGTTCACCCCCACGTGGTGGTCGGGCAGGTCGAAGAACTCGGGGGAGGCCGATGTGTCAAACTCCACTGCCAGGCTCCGCTGCTGCTGCGGTTGGTGGGTGGGGGAGAGTGGGGGAGGGTGGGGGTTGGGAACGGAACATTCTGAGACGTCTCTAGTTGTGAGAGATTCACATGTGTCAAGCTCCACTGCCAGGCTCTGCTGCTGCTGTGGTTGGTGGGTGGGGGAGGGTGGGGGGTGGAGCAGGAGGGGGAACAGGGGGGTAGGCAGAGGAGCAGCAGAGCAGGAGAGCAGGAGAGCAGGAGAGCAGGAGAGCAGGAGAGCAGGAGAGCAGGAGAGCAGGAGAGCAGGAGAGCAGGAGAGCAGGAGAGCAGGAGAGCAGGAGAGCAGGAGAGCAGGAGAGCAGCTCCTCCTTCCCCCGCCCCTCCCCCAGCTGCTGCTTCTCCGCCTGCTCCCCCTCCCCCTGCTGTTGCGGCGGCGGAGGCGTTCAGCGGAACTGCCAGCAGCAGCACCTTCAGCAGCCGCACCGCCGCCCCTTCTGCTTCCCCTTCCGCGCAGAGGCTAGCGCGCGCAAAGAACGAGAGGGACAGCTGGCGCGGGGACTGCGGCTTCTGCGCCTGCTGCGCCTGCTGTGAGTCATTGCTGGTCGGCGCCGCGGGTTGGATTTCGCACAGCGCTTGCGCCACGCCTGGGCCGCCAAACGCGCTTCTACCATTGTTACTACTATTGCTACTATCATTGATACTACCAGAAGCGTCATTGCCACTAGAGGACGCGCGAAAAGGGGAACTCAGCCGTAAAAAACGGGACCCGTCGGCTGCCAGTAGGGTGTCCGTGACTCCCGTGATCCCGTTCGCGATTGACACGTCAGCAGGCGACGCCGCCGCCCCTCCTGCTGTCGCGATCGCTTCCGCCTGTGTCGCCGTATCTGGCGCAGGGAATTGCCCGTGGTTTCCGCCGCCAGATGCGGTGGCTAAGACCTCGTCGTTCAAGAATGTTTCTCCAGGTTTTAACACGCGCCACGGGAATAAGTGCGCCCATGGTTGGCACGACGCGTTCAGCTTCTTGCGACGCCATCCTATATCGAGACAGCTTGTATCGAAGCTTGGGTTCGAGAGGAGGTTTGAGGATTGACCTGGGGGACAAAGAAGCGGGGGAATAATGGAAGTCAAATTAGCAGCGAAACCCTAAATGTAGCTTCGCCAGTTTTTGCCACACTGGTGAGCTGGCGGCAAAATCTAGGGCATGAAAAGGCTGGAGGAACCTAAATCGCGGTAACATCAAGAACAGCATAAACGGATCCTATTACTTGGATTGGTTAGGCTATGGCAGTCGACGAGGCAGTGAGCGACACGAACGAAGGCTACGAAATTGAGAAGAATCGAAACCCGTAGAGAACTCGCGACACAGCGAAGCCACGTGGCTTTTAAATCGACCCGCAGTTTGCAGCGAGAGATGCGGTGGTGATTCATCTGCATCGAGGTGTTCTCAGGAGAGTAACCCCAACCCAAGGGTTAATTTGAAGTACACCGAGTCGTGTGATCAGAAAGGGTAAGTAGCCATTCAGAAAGAGAGTTAATGCACCGACAAAGATGGCAAAGAGGGAGGGGTGGCATAGCTAAGAAGGATGTGGTGCAAGTTCTGGCGGTAAAAAAAACGTTGTCGATCGACTCGTCACCGTACTGCAACGATGCTAATCTATACTGCACCACAAAAAGCCGAGTCCAACCAAAACCTTTTCTAGGGTGGCTTTTGGTGGGCAATAGTAGATTGTGATTCCCCTAGTTGGAATTTGCGATGGCGCGAAAACACACAAGACGCGATGACCTTGAGTTGAGCCTGGGAGCGGCGGGAGGGGCGGGCGGACCGCTGGCCTGGCACGCCCCACGCCAACCAACCTTTTGTGTTTGCTAATGCTGTGGCGAAACCTGTCTGTATCGTGAAGGTTGTAACCTCCTCCCTTCTTTCGTGTTTGCCATGCCAAGCCAGATGTTCCGAACCGAACCAAGCAGCACCGCAGCAGCCACACGGGACACAACAGTGGACAGCATCGCAGATTGGTTGTTGGCGATGTAACACACGGCACAGGTTGTCGCTTTCGCTACCACAGGACGAGCTCCATGACGTGCTCTTGCTTTGTACACTCCCGTATTTTCCATAATTTTTACGTCAATCCACCTGTCAAATTTGACTGAACCCCGGGGCGTACTCCAAACATTCCCTGTCCAGTTACGAGGTGCATCAATGTTGCAGGGTACAGTCCAGGGTTACTGAATAACGAGAGTTACCGCACCAGTGACCGAGGGATTAATATAATGGCGAAGAAAATTTTGCGAAATACGGGTGTTACTGTTTGACGCGAAACGAATTAGCGGTGAACCTTTCGATGTGTTCCGAACTCCCGGGGAACGCTTTCGAAATGTCGTCATATATGTACAGTCTCTCGTAAAAAATTCTGTTACATGCCAGATGTGGTAACTGAGCTGAAATCTGCCGTACATGTGCAAAGTTAGACCCGCCCTAAATCGCTTGAGAAGAATGCAGGGACTTTGGGGGAGGTCAACTTCAAATTTGGCGGGAAAGAGCACTGTGACTGCCGACAAGGTGTGAAGGTGGTACAGTTTGTTGGTGCTCTTGTTCTGGGTGGGATTTGCTCAAGCAATTCTGTATTGCCGCCGTCCCTTTCGCGTTTGGTGACGGGCAAGCGCACCTCATGTACACCTGATGCTCACCTCCTGCACGCGAAATTGCCTTTTACCGGATGGAAACCTTGCACCCGTGGGTTTTGTGCCGTGACGTTGCACCCACGTTACAAGCACGTCGACCAATACGAACCACAGAAACTGAAGTTTGACTGACGAGACCAAAGTCAAACAGTCAGCGTTGAGTTACAATTGTTTTTTATAAGCCCTTTTTGCCCGATGCGAATTGACGAAATCTTCAAGCGAAGCGAGAATCGCTTATAAGCCCAGAGGGTAAGGCGAGGTCGGGGGGCTCAACCGGGCATCGTGTGTACAAGCCTTCGCGGCTCGGGAAAAAAATATACATGAGGTGGTTTGTTTGTGGATGTCCCAAGTGCAACCACCCCAAACCCACTTCGGCAGTGTGCAACATCTGCTACTGAACCCAAAATAAAGGGGTGATCAAAGTGCTGCACCAGCTCGACGTCGAGGGACGTCGGTGAATTTCAAACCTCGGATCAAAAGTTCCAACCGTCAGGATTCACCGAAATCCCTCGAAGTCGAGCTGGTGCCTCACTTTGATCACCCCTTAAGCCAGGAGGTTCTGCGTCAGCGAGTGGTCCCCACGGGCATCCGAGGCCCGGCGTCCCGGTCAGGAGCCGAAGGGCCGGGCCTCGGTTTCCTCGCCAGGAGGATCGGGCGAGGTGGGCGGTGCCAGTTCAGTGCCACCCTCGCATTCCTTCGCGTGCCCGGGGTGACGACGGCGAGGGCATCGGCCCTCCTCGCGGCCCCTCCCTCGCGGAGGAACCCGACACCCTCGGCCCGAATAGAGCAGTGTGCAACATCTGCTACCCAAAATTCGCCAGGAAACTGTACTGTGCTGTACTACCGCGTGAGGACACCGTAACCCTCGCCCCATTACGGGGCCCTGGTTACGGAGGCCCGCGTGGGATTACGGGCCGTTTTCCTCGAGAGGTTCGACAATGCAGTTGCCAAATTCCCAACGTCAGAAATAGGTGGCATTCACAATCTCGTACAGGTCCACACAGGCAGGCACAACCAGTCATAGCGGACAACTTGTTTTGTTGCAACGACACCGTCACACCGCAGTCCCGAGCCGCATTATGCTGCGGATTTTTGTGGCCGGGACGGGCGGGGCATGCGGCTACTTCTGCAAACAGCCGCGATTGCCTCGTCTGCAGGGCTCGAATGCCCCACAGGAGATACAGACAGCTCCTTTTCCGTTGAGAGATACCGTTGAGAGATACCTGACAGCTCCTCTCAGCTGATTTCCGGGAGTTCCGCTGACAAAGACGGCTAATGACGGTCTGAGTGGTTAGCACGTAGTCGTACTAATTAGCAGCAGCAGACGGGATAACAGCTGCCGAGATGAAGCCGCAATCTACGCCGCCGCCTGTTGCGCTTCTGACAACCCTAATTTGGCTTGTAATCCCGCTGTTCTATGCGGTTCGAGGAGTTGCAACGGTAGATGTGGTGTTAAATGAGTCCCAGAGTGCGTGAGCATGTAACCCTAGTTTCTAGCGTCACTGATTACTTATTTTATTTATTTATTTATTTATTTATTTATTTATTTATTTGTTTTCGTTGTTTAATTAACAGCGAGTAACCCTCGTGCGACCATGACCGTACCAGGGTGCATTCTCCGAAGATTGTTCTCACGTTCGAAAGGTCTCGAATATCGAATTGGAAACGTGTCAAAACTGTTACTGCCTGTTTTTTCCTTCAACAATCAACGCGGGTCACTGTACTACCACCTACGTTTCAATGGCCGGCGCTTACGTACGATTTCCCTCCAAACCCTGCCAGGGATATTTTGAGAATTCTTTAAAAAAAATTACCTCGAGCTCCCGCCAACCGTGCCAGAACCTGCACTTTGCTGGAACCGGCGGCAGCGGCGCTCGATTTGAGTGCACCATCCTGTCACGTCCGAGTCGCGACACGTTTTGAGACGTCTCAGAACGGCAGCCTTGTTAGTTATCACTGCTAGAAACAGCGGCGGGAGCAACAACGTTGGCTTTAAATGCATCATCCCGTCACGTCCGAGTCGCGACCCGCTGTGTTGCCGCGTAGAGCGCCGTCCATGGCTGTCAACCTATTAGAAGCTTCTTTCGGGCCTTCTCTGACGTTTCCCCCACTTCCGCCTTCCTCCCCCTGCATCGGGCATCGCAGTGACTGATGATGATCCGGTCCGGGGGCTTCTCTGTCTCACTCCCTTTTTCTCCCCCCTCCCCCCTCCCTCCTCCCCACTTATTTCCAGAATCTGCGCTGGAGAAGGTGGTGGGTGCGTCGGGCATCGCAGTGAGTGACGACGATATGATTTGGAGCGCGGTTGCTTCTCTGTCTCACTCCCTACTCCTCCTCCCTTTCCTGTCCGCCCCTACACCAGAATTCGCGCTGGAGAAGGTGGTGAGTGCGTCGGGCATCGCATTGAGTGACGATGATATGATTTGGAGCGCGGTTGCTTCTCTGTCTCACTCCCTACTCCTCCTCCTCCCTTTCCTGTCCGCCCCTACACCAGAATCCGCGCTGGAGAAGGTGGTGAGTGCGTCGGGCATCGCAGTGACTGACGATGACGTCATGGCTCTGCATTGCTCCTCTCCCCCTTTCTTCTCAATCCCCTCCCACCCATCCCCTCTCGTCCCGTCCCCAGGCGGATCTAGACAAGGTGGTCCGCAGGGTGACGCCGCGGCTTTGCATTGCTCCTCTCCTCACTTCCTTCCAACCCCCTCCCCCGCCCTCCCCCCCGTACCCTCCCCAGGCGGACCTAGCCAAGGTGGATCGCAGGGTGACACCGTGGTTGGTAGTTATGTTCCACGAGGCGTGGTATCACAGCAACAAGGAGCACCACCTCAGTGGGGAGGCCATGCGGGTGGCGCTGGAGAAGACGCTGTATGATGCGCGCACGGATGTGGTGGTGTGTGGTCACGTGCATTCCTATGAGCGCACGGTGAGTTGGGGGCAAGGGTGGGAAGGGAAGGGTGAACATGAGCGGACGGCGAGTGTGAGGCACCTCAGAAGGTGCCTGGCTCTGGAGCAGCTGCTGTATGATGCGCGCACTGATGTGGTGGTGTGCGGCCACGTGCATGCTTCTGAGCGCACGGCGAGTTGGAGAGCGGAGACGGGGCGCTGGGGCAGATGCTGCATGGTGCCCGCACACACATGCATGTGCATGACCGCATGGTGAGTGTGCGAGGCTAAGGGTGGGCCCTGCATGCCGGCATGCTCATTGGAGCTGATGCTGATGTGCAGCCAGGGCTGATGTGGTTTGTGGATACTACATGCACCCTCACCGTGTCATCGTCTGTATCCCCTCGCCTCACCGTGTCATCGTCTGTATCCCCTCGCCTCACCGTGTCATCGTCTGTATCCCCTCGCCTCACCGTGTCATCGTCTGTATCCCCTCGCCTCACCGTGTCATCGTCTGTATCCCCTCGCCTCACCGTGTCATCGTCTGTATCCCCTCGCCTCACCGTGTCATCGTCTGTATCCCCTCGCCTCACCGTGTCATCGTCTGTATCCCCTCGCCTCACCATGTCATCGTCTGTATCCCCTCGCCTCACCGTGTCATCGTCTGTATCCCCTCGCCCTCTCCTCTCTCTTGTCGCCACTCCCGTACTCTTGTCCATTCGCATCGTCTGCTCAGCTCCCTCCTCACCTCAACCTGTGCCATGCTGCATCCCACCGCTGCATCCCACCGCTGCATCCCACCGCTGCATCCCTCTGCTGCATCCCACCGCTGCATCCCACTGCTGCTGTTGCACGCTCCTCCCACAATATCAGTGGATGAATCTGAATACCAGTGCGTATTTCGCCGTTGCACGCTCCTCCCACAATATCAGTGGATGAATCTGAATACCAGTGCGTATTTCGCCGTTGCACGCTCCTCCCACAATATCAGTGGATGAATCTGAATACCAGTGCGTATTTCGCCGTTGCACGCTCCTCCCACAATATCAGTGGATGAATCTGAATACCAGTGCGTATTTCGCCGTTGCACGCTCCTCCCACAATATCAGTGGATGAATCTGAATACCAGTGCGTATTTCGCCGTTGCACGCTCCTCCCACAATATCAGTGGATGAATCTGAATACCAGTGCGTATTTCGCCGTTGCACGCTCCTCCCACAATATCAGTGGATGAATCTGAATACCAGTGCGTATTTCGCCGTTGCACGCTCCTCCCACAATATCAGTGGATGAATCTGAATACCAGTGCGTATTTCGCCGTTGCACGCTCCTCCCACAATATCAGTGGATGAATCTGAATACCAGTGCGTATTTCGCCGTTGCACGCTCCTCCCACAATATCAGTGGATGAATCTGAATACCAGTGCGTATTTTGCCGTTGCACGCATCTCCCACAATTGCATTCCCCAAGGTGCGTCTCTACAACAACGCCCAGGACCCATGCGGCATGGTGTATCTCACAGTTGGCACTGGTGGGGACGACCTATATACAAGGTGACTCGTTTTAAGGTGTACATGGATGAACACACACGCGGATGCATGTACGCACGCATGCGCACACACACACGCGCGCACAAGCACACAGACATCCATATGAAGTGAGTCATTTCAAGAGGCACCTTATTGATAGACGTGGCAGAAGGCACCGTACTGTATGATTGCTTCTCACCGACCAAAATCCCACTGCCTGCTTGTCTCCGCTTCATCCTCCTTCACCCCTCCTGCATGCGTGCTCCATGCTCTCACTGGCACAACCCCACTCACTTGCCCTTCTGTTCGCTTCTTTTTTCTCTTGCCCTTCTCTTCGCTTCTTTTATTATCTTGCCCTTCTCTTGCCCTTGTCGTCTTTCCTCAGATCGTCTCACCTTCTTTTTCCCTTGTCCATCTTTCTTTCCCACTCCAATCCTCCCCTCTCCCTGCCACCCTTCTCCCCGGGTTGAAAACCCTCCCCTTTCCCCCCTCAGTTTCCTCTCCCCCAATCTGCGTGGTCGAGGTGACTTTTAAGGCGCCTAAAAAACCCTCCCTCTTCCCCCTTCTCCCCGCTCCCCCCCTCAACGCTCAGTTTCCTCTCCCCCAAGCCTGCGTGGTCTATGTGACTTTTAAGGCACCTAAAAAAACCCCCCACTTCCCCCCCTCCCCCTCAACGCTCAGTTTCCTCTCCCCCAAGCCTGCGTGGTCTATGTGACTTTTAAGGCACCTAAAAAAACCCCCCACTTCCCTCCCTCCCCCTCAACGCTCAGTTTCCTCTCCCCCAAGCCTGCGTGGTCGGCCTTCCGCCAGGCAGCGTATGGGTTTGGGGTGCTGTCAGTGGGAGGGGGGGGCAGCAGGGGCGAGGCGGTGTGGAGGTGGAGGAGGAACAGCGATGCAGCGGGGGTGGTGGCAGATGAGGTGAATCTGATATCGCATGCTAGCAGCAAGGCACCTGCGAAGTGCCGGGTGTGAGGCAGTGTGATCCTCTTCATGTGTGGTTGATGCAAGAGCTACACAGACTGTGGCAGCAGCAGAGGTGGGTGGGGCAGTGTGGAGGTGGAGGTCGAATAGTATAAATTCCCTGGCAAGGTGGAAGATTAAGTTTGCATTCGCGGGTACTCATGACCGATCATGCTCGCTACCCTCCCATGCTCTTGCTGCCTTGGTAATAGGTCAATACGCACACAACCATGTGGGTCCAACGGAAGAGAAAAGAGTAGGGTATAGGTGCCAGCTATTGGAAACATGTAGTTTACGCTTCTGATGTGTCGAAACACTGAGCTGCAAGCTAAGCGAACTACAGCAAAGCAACATCGAGTCAACCGAAGAGGTTGACAAAATGTAACAGCAAGAGGTTGAGCGAAAGTCAAAGGTCAGCGACCTTTTGTTGGAAACAGTAAATCCTAAGCGCCTCTGTCGTGTCGAAACATCGCACCAGAAGCGAAGCGAACCATGTCGAGGCACACACGAGTCAACCCTTGGAGGTTGAAAGAGGTTGCTGGAGGTTACGCGAAAGTCAAAGGTCAGCGACCTTTGACCTGACAAGTACAGCACGACTTCAAGGACACACAACTGACTCGCTACAGAGCAGTTGCCCGAGTCGTCACTGTATCGAACCGCAACAGCAACAGTAAAGTAGTTATAACCGTATCCTTTCATATTCCTTGTACTCATATATAAATGCTTGTATCTCTTTGCTTTAATCAACTTACTTTGCCCTCACATACCAGCGCAAGGTGGTTCACAACTCTTCATTAACGCTTCCGCTATTACAATTGTCCTACCCAGAGTTTACCCCTGCAAAGATCCTAAGGGCTTTTTCTCAGCCCAACATGGTATGAGAGCTATCAGGGGAAATTCGACTACTATCAAGTCATCAACAGACAACATGGCAACATACAAGGAAAGGAGTTCCTCTAATGGTTCTCCCGGGACTACTCCTACCCCACCTCCTGCCTCTGGCCTGCAGACAGAGGAAGGAACCGCAACGGGACCAGCAGCGCCTTCAGCCAGCCAGCCTGCCAGCTTCGACCAGAGTATGATGGAGAAGTTTTTCTCCTTCATGTCGTTCTACGAGCAACACCAGCAATCGGCACCTGCGCAGTCAAACAACAGCAACAACAACGTGACTCCAATGAGTCTCGACGGCTCATCATATGCGCGCGGAAATCAGCAACAACCTACCTTTGCTCCGTATGAACGCGGGTCCATTAGCTTCATGCCGCACCCGCAAGCTCCACCTGGACAAGAAAAACAACTGGATGCACTACAAGTACAGTCGCAATTCGCGCACGTCTTAAAGCTGCAGACGTCAAGGCCCTTCGACGGAAAAGACTTCTTCACCTCATCGTTCGAGTTCGAACTCATGATGGAAGGCGCGCGGAAACTTGGATTCTTCGACGGGTCTGTGCCATACCCAACAAACGGCACACAGTATGAGAAGCAGCAGTACACATATCAGTCGATGATGGCGTATACGATCCTACTGAGAAACATCACCCCAACTCAGCAGCAGAACATACGGTCTTACCGGGGATTCGGCAACTCCGCGGAACTCGCGTACAAGCACATGAAGGACCTGTATCAAGCAACAGACAGCGTCAACCAAAGTCGGTTAATGGCGCAATTGACAACGGTCGAAATGAAACCAGGCGAAAAAGGAATGGCATATATCAGCCGATGTCGCGAACTGCGCGACAAGCTCCTTCAATGCGGAGGGTCAATCTCTGAATGTCGAAATAGTAGGTATAGTAAGAGGCCATAGCTAGGGTTGACCTAGCTAGGCAAGAGAGAATGAAGGCAAAAGAGGACTGAACTAGCAAGAATGGGGATACAAATAGCAAACCCTAGAAGGGTTGTACTCGCTACAGAGCACCCCACTACAGGCTAGAGCATAATATTCTGACACACCCCCATAGCCAAAGTGGGGTGTAATCAGCAGAGGAAACAAAGCAGTACAAGCTCAGGGTGGATCACGATGTCACCACTCATTCTGAGCACAAGCAAGAAGCAATAGTTTAAGGTTCACAATTATGAGTAAAGCTAGAGGCAGTCACAAGGGGTCAAGTGAGGAGGAGGAGGGCTGGCGAGAGGAGAGTAGATAGGAGGCGACGACTGAAGCTGCAGACACACGGGCAACAGACGGCTCTGGTGCGACAACGTGGCTACCGGGAATGAGTGCCCCGGAGTACAGGAGTAACAGGCTCCGCGGCTAATATGCGCGGCAGGAGCAACGGACCCACAGGCGACGGCGCAACCGGCTCTCTGAGCTACCGGTGGCTAATCGAACCCCGGAATACAGGCGCTGCGGACGACACGACGGCGGCCTCCGCTCAACCTCCTCCAACTGTCCCACACCCCTCGACACACACCCCCTGCTTCAAACCCTAGCTCCACTCCGACGGTACCCCCCTTAGACCCCAAACCCTAGGCTCCCACACACCACCCCCCTCAGCGGCAGCTGTAGCAGAGGGAGACGAGGGAGGAGGAGGAGCAGGGAACGGCACACTGAAGCTGCACCCCCATACCCCCCACCCCAAACCCTAATCCAGGAGAACGGGCAGAAGGAGGGGTGGGGCGCCTTCAGAAGCACGGGGGACAGCGGGGAGGACAGGGGAAGCGAAGAACGGGCCGCCCACGGGCCTGGCACCGCCTCCCGAACCGCGCGCAGGCGGTCCGAGCCGCGCGCGGGCCTGGCGCAGCCCGTACGGGCCGCGCGCGTGCCTGGCGCAGCCCGTACGGGCCGCGCGCGGGCCTGGCGCAGCCCGTACGGGCCGCGCGCGGGCCTGGCGCAGCCCGTACGGGCCGCGCGCAGGCCTGGCGCAGCCCGTACGGGCCGCGTGCCGGGTGTACGGGCCGCGTGCAGGCCACGACGGGCGACGGGGGGCGACGCGCGGGTCCCCGTCGCCCGTCGCAGCGCCTCCCGGGGGCGACGTGCCGAGTGACGGGGCAGGAACCCGTCGCGCGCCTCGGGGCACACGGCGGGCAGAGAACCGCCGCGCGCCTCGGGGCGCACGGCGGGCTGAAAACCCTAGTTTCGACGCCGCGCACCACGGGGCGCGCGGCGGACAGGGAGTAGCAGTAGCAGCGGAAGCAGTGAAGTGGGCCCACAGGCCAGGAACGTTAAGCTCTAATACCATGTCGAAATAGTAGGTATAGTAAGAGGCCATAGCTAGGGTTGACCTAGCTAGGCAAGAGAGAATGAAGGCAAAAGAGGACTGAACTAGCAAGAATGGGGATACAAATAGCAAACCCTAGAAGGGTTGTACTCGCTACAGAGCACCCCACTACAGGCTAGAGCATAATATTCTGACACTGAAGACGCCTTCGTGACAGTCATCATCGGCGGCCTCGGTCCTCAATGGCGCGCGACAAAGGCCATTCTCCGAGCCCACGGAAGAATCTCCGAA